AAATATCGCCCGGAAATTAGTATCTGTGCCAATGCGTATCCTTGTAGGATTGCACAGGCTTTAATTATTCCCTTATCACGACACACGTACGCTAACAGAGGGTTAATTCACTTCTATACGTGCGTCAGTGTTGAAACACGGCGAGAACTGGCTTCCCTGACATAACAACCATTATCCAAATGCCTAAGCTTGAACAGCCCAAGAAACCCTTCACCACCGTAGTGTTTAACAGCCGATTTGACAATTTCAGTCTATCGACCCACAGCGTGTAGCAGAAATCGCTAGCAATAAGAGTTTGAAGAATGCCAAGAACAAACTTTTGGAGGTCTTTAAATGCCGTGCATCGCATTACAGGGCTTCTGTGACTCGGTAACAAGGGGAATGGATTGTTAAGGGAACAAAACTGTCTTGGTTTGAGTGGAGGACTTATCGATTCTCGCTGTTCTTGCTGGAGCAATTGATGCGGCAATTTGTTCTTGCCCCACACTGTATGACGTTGTCCCGGGTTATTTCAGGGGAACAAGTGTGAATTATTAACTAAACCAAATCCGAACACAAATGTTGGAACAAGCAAGTGGCCTCATTAGTCAATATAGAAACGCTTTGCTTAATCCTACATGTACTTGTATTTTAATTACTTGTGATCGATTGAATCAAATTGTTGACACGACAAACAACGGGTTTCAGCTTCGTGCGTAATGTCGAGATTCGTTGAAATAAACAGCAAGGTGTACTTGATGAGATTTTCTTTCATTTTTATTGTATATTTATTTCACTGGTGAATAATATAAAAAGTCAACGCGAGAGAATAACCAGTCTCGATAGTCTGTGAGTGTGTGAGTGAGTTTGGTTTAACGCCGCTTTTAACAGTATTCTAGTTGTATCGCGGCGTGTCAGCTTAATGTTGGAAGAAAGCCCGAAGTGATGTAGGTCTCAGACGTTTACCACTTCGGTGAAACCCACGAGCACGGGTATGGTGCTGACAAACCTAGAAACATAATCGGGGCGAACCGGGATTCGAACCCACAATCAGAGGTTTCTGGCGTGCCCAAGGGATGCAACTCTGCACAGCGAATCATGGCGCCTTAGACGCGGCGTTAAACCCAACTCACTCACTCACAAGACGAAACCAGTGAACTGGTGCTAACTGCACACCGGTCTCGGGTAACAATTGACGAAACGTTTATTTTTCTGTTCATATATTGACATTTTCGCCACAGAATAGAACTGTATAGTAAATCTTTTTTCATAGTTCATAATGTTTCATCACCATGATAATGTTCCTGTGTTTGTTCAGGTGAAAACCTAATCTATATGTTCCCGTGTTTGTTCAGGTGAAAACTTGTTCTATATATTCCTATGTTTGTTCAGGTGAAAACTTGTTCTATATGTTCCTATGTTTGTTCAGGTGAAAACTTGTTCTATATGTTCCTATGTTTGTTCAGGTGAAAACTTATTCTATATGTTCCTATGTTTGTTCAGGTGAAAACCTAATCTATATGTTCCCGTGTGTGTTCAGGTGAAAACTTGTTCTATATATTCCTATGTTTGTTCAGGTGAAAACCTAATCTATATGTTCCTATGTTTGTTCAGGTGAAAACTTATTCTATATGTTCCTATGTTTGTTCAGGTGAAAACTTGTTCTATATATTCCTATGTTTGTTCAGGTGAAAACTTGTTCTGTATATTCCTATGTTTGTTCCGGTGAAAACTTGTTCTATATGTTCCTATGTTTGTTCAGGTGAAAACTTGTTCTATATGTTCCTATGTTTGTTCAGGTGAAAACTTGTTCTATATGTTCCTATGTTTGTTCAGGTGAAAACTTGTTCTATATGTTTCTATGTTTGTTCAGGTGAAAACTTGATCTATATGTTTTTTTGTTTGTTCAGGTGAAATCTTGATCTATATGTTCCCGTATTTGTTCAGGTGAAAACTTGATCTATATGTTCCCATGTTTGTTCGGGTGAAAACTCGATCTTTATGTTCCCATGTTTGTTCAGGTGAAATCTTGTTGTATATGTTCCCGTGTTTGTTCAGGTGAAAACTTGTTGTATATGTTCCTATGTTTGTTCAGGTGAAAACTTGTTCTATATGTTCCTATGTTTGTTCAGGTGAAAAATTGTTCTATATGTTCCTATGTTTGTTCAGGTGAAAACTTGTTGTATATATTCCTATTTTTGTTCAGGTGAAAACTTGTTCTATATTTTACTATGTTTGTTCAGGTGAAAACGTGTTCTATATGTTCCTATGTTTGTTCAGGTGAAAACTTGGTCTATATACTCCTATGTTTGTTCAGGTGAAAACTTGTTCTATATGTTCCTATGTTTGTTCAGGTGAAAACTTGGTCTATATACTCCTATGTTTGTTCAGGTGAAAACTTGTTCTATATGTTCCTATGTTTGTTCAGGTGAAAACTTGGTCTATATACTCCTATGTTTGTTCAGGTGAAAACTTGTTGTATATGTTCCTATGTTTGTTCAGGTGAAAACTTGTTCTATATGTTCTTATGTTTGTTCAGGTGAAATCTTGATCTAAATGTTCCCGTGTTTATTCCGGTGAAAACTTGATCTATATGTTCCCATGTTTGTTCAGGTGAAAACTTGATCTATATGTTCCCATGTTTATTCAGGTGAAAACTTGATCTATATGTTCCCATGTTTGTTCAGGTGAAATCTTGATCTATATGTTCCCATGTTTATTCAGGTGAAAACTTGATCTATATGTTTTTTTGTTTGTTCAGGTGAAAACTTGATCTTTATGTTCCCATGTTTGTTCAAGTGAAAACTTGATCTATATGTTCCCATGTTTATTCAGGTGAAAACTTTATCTATATGTTTTTTTGTTTGTTCAGGTGAAATCTTGATCTATATGTTCCCGTGTTTATTCAGGTGAAAACTTGATCTATATGTTCCCATGTTTATTCAGGTGAAAACTTTATCTATATGTTTTTTTGTTTGTTCAGGTGAAATCTTGATCTATATGTTCCCGTGTTTATTCAGGTGAAAACTTGATCTATAATTATGTTCCCGTGTTTGTTCAGGTGAAAACTTGATCTATATGTTCCCATGTTTGTTCAGGTGAAAACTTGATCTATATGTTCCCGTGTTTGTTCAGTTGAAATCTTGATCTATATGTTCCCATGTTTGTTCAGGTGAAAACTTGATCTATATGTTCCCATGTTTATTCAGGTGAAAACTTGATCTATAATTATGTTCCCGTGTTTGTTCAGGTGAAAACTTGATCTATATGTTCCCATGTTTATTCAGGTGAAAACTTGATCTATATGTTCCCATGTTTGTTCAGCAGAACACTTCACCATATGTTCCCATGTTTGTTCAGCAGAACACCTGAATCATACACTATGTTCCCGTGTTTGTTTAGGTAAACACTTGTACCATTTGCTCTCGTGTTTGTTCAGGTGAACACTTGCATTGCCTGTACATGTTTATGGGACGGGTGCCTACGATGGGGTAGAATACGCTCACCTTTCCCGAACAACTGGTATGATCACTATTTGATAATGATTCATAAACACATGGTTATGATATAATCGGAATCGTATAATGGAAGCTGCTTTTACTGCATATTTGTTATCATTATGGAAAGTGTTTTGTCGCTTTTATCACAATATATCAAGATTCACACCTTTGTCTGGAACTACATACATAAATGTATGCCATTAGACACAACGGAGTAATGCATGTTGGAATGATTGAAACATCAAACTGAAACTACGAAAGCTCTATGATATTTCTTTTGTCATGAGAAATACAATCCATTTTCAGACCTTCCATGGTCCCAATTCTAATGCCCCCCAATGTATTACTGTCCCCGGGACAAATATACAGACCAATGTAAATCACTACAAATGATGAATAAAATCAACACGATACATTGTGAAAGTCCCAGCTATGATTGTATCAGTTTCCAACTCACATTGATAGTCCAGACAATTTGCCGTTCAATGCTTTTTATGATATAGATATCATAGCTTCATTTGACGTGGCATTCAAGCTCAACTGGCGGACTACACTGACATTAAAAGTTACCCATAAGTTTGGAATGATCGTGTGTAATAACTTTCCGATATTTGCACATGTTCATGTTAGCGGTTCTCAAAGCTGATTGGCCAACTGTCACAGCGCTTCCTTGTTGAGCAAAATACGATCAGACGTTCATGACGTCACATTTTGATCAACTGATCACATAACGTCATCTGAACAATAGACTGCCTTCAGTGAAGTTTCTCTGGAGGGTTGACATTTTGTACGTTTTTTTCTCTCATAAAATGTCAATGGGTAAAATATAGAATAACCTACTCGAAACTCGGAAATGCGGATTATTTGTCCCTCGTGAATGAATGATGTAAGACCCTAGCCAGGGGCTCGGGATTAACATTAGTCATTCACGCAATTCCTCGTAGCTTGTTGGTTAGTCCCTAAATGTCCCGAGGATTTTTACTTGACCAGGTTCCATTGTACATGTTTTAGACCTTTCGCTTCTTGCGTTTATTCAGATCTGTCTGAAGAAACCCTTAACAAGCTCTACGATCTATCCGAACTATACTATTAACAAGAATAATGTCGTGAGGTAGAAATGACGGGTTTCACATTGCTGATCACCAAAAGGATATTCCGGGCTAGACTATGCTGGTCGTAAGAGGCGACTAAATGGAACGGGTGGTCAGGCTCGGGAACTTGGCTTATTGCATTTCATCGTACCCCGACGGCGTGGATCGATTCTCATAATATCGATCACTGTATCGTCTATCCTAGACTCGATCATCTACAGACCGCCGTCATATCGCTGCAATATTGCTGAGTGGTGCGTTAAACAACAAACAAGCATACTTAAATGAGAGTTTACAGATACAGAGTGGTGTTTGAATAATTTCAATCAAACCAGCTATGCCTGCAAATGACCCAATCCAAGGTGAATGTTCGATGAAGTTAAGTCCTCTGATCTCTATTGGCCAGTTCCTGATGTGACGAAGTGCGAAATGAATTTGTTGTGTTTATTAACGCATGTACAAATGTCCCATGTTCATGGTTATGACCCGATCTTCACATCTGAAACAGAATATGGATCACAGTACACTATTACGTATATATCGCTATATATTCCACGGCAAATGATATCTGATGTAAACTTGTACTTTATTCACACACACACACGCAAATAATTACTTATTTATAATGTCAAGCATATGCCCGCATCCAACCTGGTCCCAGATGATCAAGATAAATGTGTTTGTGATAGACATATAAATAACGACGCATGTCCATGTTTTGTATCTTGCTATCACATGCCCAAGCAAATTGATGAACCCAAGCAATAACAAGATGACCCTCAGTTCCAAGATCACCTTCCCACCAAAAGAATGAGTGAGTGAATATGGTGTCTCGCCGATTTTAGCAATATTCCAGCAATATCACGGCGGTGGACACCAGAAATGGGCTTCACACATTGTACCCATGTTGGGAATCGAACCCGGATCGGCGGCGTGACCAGCCCCACCAAAAGAACATGCATATCATCAAATATCATCAATCAAAGTTTTGGCAATATTTTTGAAAACATCAGGCAGGTGTGAATACACAATGCCAATTAGAAAGTGGTCAAAAATAACAAATGTTCTATTTGGGAAAATACTTTCTCAGTCAGGTACAAATTCTAGTACTTTTGGGTGGTTGAGTCCCGTGCGGGATTCGAACCCACACTCTCAGAATGAGGCACCCATAAGGTAAGTGGGCTGACCATATTATCCCACCTTCGGTCCGATTACGATCCTTGGTTTCTCAGCACCAAACCCTACTTGTACATCTAACTACCATGGTAAACGGCCAATACCTGATTTAATTTGGGCGCTCAAAACATACACGCTACCCACTCGTATATATGTTCTTAGGGCGGTCGGGTAGCCTAGTGGTTAAAGCGTTCGCTCGTCACGCCGAAGACCCGGTTTCGATTCCCGACATGGGTACAATGTGTGAAGCCCATTTCTGGTGTCCCCCGCCGTGATATTGCTGGAATATTGCAAAAAGCGGCGTTAAACCATACTCACTCACTCAAAATATGTTCTTACCGTTAATGTCGTAGGTGGTGCCTTGTTGACAAGCGGCCCTGATGTCATGGCTGAGATGATGGTACTCATTATTGGCCACCACAAGAAAGTGTTTCGCCGATTTCAGTTCACTAATCAGTACGTGCTGATGAGAATAACAGTATATTTCAGTTCACTAATCAGTACGTGCTGTTGAGAATAACAGTATATTTCAGTTCACTAATCAGTACGTGCTGTTGAGAATAACAGTATATTTCAGTTCACTAATCAGTACGTGCTGTTGAGAATAACAGTATATTTCAGTTCACTAATCAGTACGTGCTGTTGAGAATAACAGTATATTTCAGTTCACTAATCAGTACGTGCTGTTGAGAATAACAGTACATTTCAGTTCACTAATCAGTACGTGCTGTTGAGAATAACAGTATATTTCAGTTCACTAATCAGTACGTGCTGTTGAGAATAACAGTATATTTCAGTTCACTAATCAGTACGTGCTGTTGAGAATAACAGTATATTTCAATTCACTAATCAGTACGTGCTGTTGAGAATAACAGTACATTTCAGTTCACTAATCAGTACGTGCTGTTGAGAATAACAGTATATTTCAGTTCACTAATCAGTACGTGTTGTTGAGAATAACAGTTTATTTCAGTGCCAAAATACTTGACCTCTTCCAACCAAAACAACATGTAATATTTTCGGATAAGATACAGTCGAACCTCGTTTTTCGAACCCTGTTATCTCGAACGTACCGATATCTCGAACTTACTTTCCGTTCCCGACCCCTAACAATATAATTTTCATGTCTCGTTATCTCGAATGTCCGGATATCTCGAAGTTACAACACGGTCCCGCTAGGTTCGAGATAACAGGTTCCACTGAAATTTGAACATGTTTTGTGTCGGTATTAGGTAATAGACCTGGATGTAAATGAGATCTGTTAACGCTCGTACCATCGAGTTGATGTACAGAAATGGAAATTTATCTCTGGACATTGCAGGATATGAAATGACATGATTGCAAAGTAATTGTGTTGGTCAAATTGTGTTGTGTGAGGAAATGACGTCGGCCGTTTGGAAACATACATGTATCTAACATACGTCTGTATATACATATGATTTGTTTCAGGTTATGGTTACTTTTTTATTAGAAGTTTCATCATCCATGATTGTTTAGCGACCATAACTGGGATTCGAACCACGGTCGCCGGCTTTGTCGACATGACCAAAGAGGTAAAACCCCGTCAACAAGCTGAAAAGGTACGGATGGTATCTGTGGAATGACTCCACGTCCGAATAAACAAGTTCCTGGAATAACGCATAATACCTACAAAGTTAATTTCCTCTAGATATAGATGTTCCCAACAGGATAATCAGGAAGGTTTCAGAACTATCAGGATACGTAATAATGGTGTTTCACTGTACATCAAAAGTATGAGTAGGTCGTTCTGTGTATAAGAGAATGCAAGGGACTGGCATATCCCGTCTGGGTCGTGAAGATAAACCGCCAATGCCAGAGAATAACCAGTCTCGATTATTTGCCGAAACGTTTCACTGGGCTTAAAAGGCACAACAGCGGAGAAGATCATATGGATGGATCACTGAAAACACCAGGTGTTTAACCTACATCCATGTCATCCACACCGCCTGGGTTGGCCGCACTGAGCACTTCCTCGTCCGTCAGATGGTACAGGTAACACCCGGACTTGGTGACGATGGCCACCACATCCTGCAATACATGACACAGGAACAGGAATATATAGCATACAGTTGACACATTCAACAAACGACCGTGACATGAATATATAGCATACAGTTGACATAAACAGCACACGACCGTGACGGGAATATATAGTATACAGTTGAAACATACAGCACACGACCGTGACAGGAATATATAGCATTAGGTTGGCACATTCAACCCACGACCGTGACAGGAATATATGGCATACAGTTGACACATACAACAAACGACCGTGACATGAATATATAGCATACAGCTGGCACATTCAACACACGACCGTGACATGAATATATAGCATACAGTTGACACATTCAACACACCACCGTGACAGGAATATATAGCATACAGTTGACACAAACAGCACACGACTCTGACGGGAATATGAAGTATACAGTTGAAACATACAGCACACGACCGTGACAGGAATATATAGCATACAGTTGGCACATTCAACACACGACCGTGACAGGAATATATGGCATACAGTTGACACATACAACAAACGACCGTGACATGAATATATAGCATACAGCTGGCACATTCAACAAACGACCGTGACATGAATATATAGCATACAGCTGACACATTCAACACACCACCGTGACAGAAATATATAGCATACAGCTGGCACATTCAACACACGACCGTGACAGGAATATATAGCATACAGTTGACACATCCAACACACGACCGTGATTGGAATATATGGCATACAGTTGACACACACAGCACACGACCGTGACAGGAATATATAGTATACAGTTGACACATACAGAACACTACCGTGACAGGAATATATAGCATACAGTTGACACATTCAACACACGACCGTGACAGGAATATATAGCATACATTTGACACATACAGCACACGGCCGTGACAGGAAGATAAGGCATACAGTTGACATACCGCTGACACATACAGTTGACACATACAGTTTAAATACATACAAATGATATATGCCGTTGACACATACTGATGAGATACATACATAGATAAGGTTGGTTGGTTGTTGTTTTTTTGTATGACGACGGTCTGTAAATACTCGAATCTGGACCAGACAATCCAGTGATTGATATCACGAGTATCGATCCACGCAATTGTGGTCGATGACCTGCATCAACCAAGTCAGCGAGTCTGACCACCCAATCCCGTTAGTCGCCTCTTACGACAAACATAGTCGCCTTTTACGGCAAGCATGGGTTGCTGAGGACCTATTGTACCCCGGATCTTCACGGATTCACAGATAAGGTGATGATGTTGGGTGGGTCAGTTGAACGTTACGCCGCTCAGAACAGCGTATCAGTTATATCGTGTTAGTTTCATGTGGGAGGAAAGCCCATAATGATGCGGGTCGAAGCTGACAAACCGAGGATCATAACCGGGTGATCTTGGATTCGAACCCAGGACAAGCGGATTCTTGCACTGGTAAGTAACACAACACCTCCTTCATCAACACTGTGGTCTTATATGAAGTCGCGGTACTTATATGAACTTCTTTACTGTGTTTAACAAAGTTTCATGTGATTTGTCTCACCAGTTGAAACCTGAACGGGTACGTGTATGTGGTTATATATAGGCTGATGTTTACACAGGGTGGGATTAATGTACAAATATAGAACCGATAGTAGTACAACAGAAGCATCCTTACACGTTTCCTTACGCTGTAATCCTTGTGCAAAACATCCAAGATGAAACTCGGCTACACGATGATCACATTTGAAACTATAAAACACCATCTGATCCATTATGACACATCCGAATTGACTGCACGATGATCACATTTGAAACTTTTGAACACCTTAATTGTTCTTATCCATTATGAAACCTAATTCACAACTCCTAAGCATAATCAGTCTCTAATTTCAGCTGAAACAGATTCCATAGGGCGTAAGAGGCAAAATTATATTACTGGAATACTGAAAGTAGAACAATAGAATACCGACGTTTCTCTGGTCCAGACTGAAGACGGGGTTGCTTGTGTCCGGCACGTGCACTTGTCCACCGGGATCAGTCTGTCGTAGAGACAGCTCCGCACCAATCTGGAACATATGGACATATATCAGTCTGTCGTAGAGACAGCTCCGCGCCAATCTGGAACATATAGACATATATCAGTCTGTCGTAGAGACAGATCCGCACCTATCTGGAACATATGGACATATATCAGTCTATCGTAGAGACAACTCGGCACCAATCTGGAACATATGGACATATATCAGTCTGTCGTAGAGACAGCTCCGCACCAATCTGGAACATATGGACATATATCAGTCTGTCGTAGAGACAGCTCCGCACCAATCTGGAACATATGGACATATATCAGTCTGTCGTAGAGACAGCCCCCGCACCAATCTGAAACATATGGACATATATCAGTCTGTCGTAGAGACAGCTCCGCACCAATCTGGAACATATGGACATATATCAGTCTGTCGTAGAGACAGCTCCGCACCAATCTGGAACATATGGACATATATCAGTCTGTCGTAGAGACAGCTCCGCACCAATCTGGAACATACGGACATATATCAGTCTGTCGTAGAGACAGCTCCGCACCAATCTGGAACATATGGACATATATCAGTCTGTCGTAGAGACAGCTCCGCACCAATCTGGAACATATGGACATATATCAGTCTGTTGTAGAGACAGCCCCCGCACCAATCTGAAACATATGGACATATATCAGTCTGTCGTAGAGACAGCTCCGCACCAATCTGGAACATATGGACATATATCAGTCTGTCGTAGAGACAGCTCCGCACCAATCTGGAACATATGGACATATATCAGTCTGTCGTAGAGACAGCTCCGCACCAATCTGGAACATATGGACATATATCAGTCTGTCGTAGAGACAGCCCCCGCACCAATCTGAAACATTGGACATATATCAGTCTGTCGTAGAGACAGCTCCGCACCAATCTGGAACATATGGACATATATCAGTCTGTCGTAGAGACAGCTCCGCACCAATCTGGAACATATGGACATATATCAGTCTGTCGTAGAGACAGCTCCGCACCAATCTGGAACATATGGACATATATCAGTCTGTCGTAGAGACAGCTCCGCACCAATCTGAAACATACGGACATATATCAGTCTGTCGTAGAGACAGCTCCGCACCAATCTGGAACATATGGACATATATCAGTCTGTCGTAGAGACAGCTCCGCACCTATCTGGAACATATGGACATATATCAGTCTGTCGTAGAGACAGCCCCCGCACCAATCTGAAACATATGGACATATATCAGTCTGTCGTAGAGACAGCTCCGCACCAATCTGGAACATATGGACATATATCAGTCTATCGTAGAGACAACTCGGCACCAATCTGGAACATATGGACATATATCAGTCTGTCGTAGAGACAGCTCCGCACCAATCTGGAACATATGGACATATATCAGTCTGTCGTAGAGACAGCTCCGCACCAATCTGGAACATACGGACATATATCAGTCTGTCGTAGAGACAGCTCCGCACCAATCTGGAACATATGGACATATATCAGTCTGTCGTAGAGACAGCTCCGCACCAATCTGGAACATATGGACATATATCAGTCTGTTGTAGAGACAGCCCCCGCACCAATCTGAAACATATGGACATATATCAGTCTGTCGTAGAGACAGCTCCGCACCAATCTGGAACATATGGACATATATCAGTCTGTCGTAGAGACAGCTCCGCACCAATCTGGAACATATGGACATATATCAGTCTGTCGTAGAGACAGCTCCGCACCAATCTGGAACATATGGACATATATCAGTCTGTCGTAGAGACAGCCCCCGCACCAATCTGAAACATTGGACATATATCAGTCTGTCGTAGAGACAGCTCCGCACCAATCTGGAACATATGGACATATATCAGTCTGTCGTAGAGACAGCTCCGCACCAATCTGGAACATATGGACATATATCAGTCTGTCGTAGAGACAGCTCCGCACCAATCTGGAACATATGGACATATATCAGTCTGTCGTAGAGACAGCTCCGCACCAATCTGAAACATACGGACATATATCAGTCTGTCGTAGAGACAGCTCCGCACCAATCTGGAACATATGGACATATATCAGTCTGTCGTAGAGACAGCTCCGCACCTATCTGGAACATATGGACATATATCAGTCTGTCGTAGAGACAGCCCCCGCACCAATCTGAAACATATGGACATATATCAGTCTGTCGTAGAGACAGCTCCGCACCAATCTGGAACATATGGACATATATCAGTCTATCGTAGAGACAACTCGGCACCAATCTGGAACATATGGACATATATCAGTCTGTCGTAGAGACATCTGCGCCAATCTGAAACATATGGACATATATCAGTCTGTCGTAGAGTCAGCTCCGCACCAATCTGGAACATACGGACATATATCAGTCTGTCGTAGAGACAGCTCCGCACCAGTCTGGAACATATGGACATATATCAGTCTATCGTAGAGACAACTCGGCACCAATCTGAAACATATGGACATATATCAGTCTGTCGAAGAGACAGCTCCGCGCCCATCTGGAACATATGGACATATATCAGTCTATCGTAGAGACAGCTCCGCACCAATCTGGAACATATGGACATATATCAGTCTATCGTAGAGACAGCTCCGCACCAATCTGAAACATATGGACATATATCAGTCTGTCGTAGAGACAGCTCCGCACCAATCTGGAACATATGGACATATATCAGTCAGGTTACTTTTGGTTTTTTGCTAAGCAATATTCAATATATCGGGACTGTACGTGTTTAAGACCTGGGATTAATAACGGAGTTTGCCTTTTTAATTCAGTAACATTTTATTCAAATTTAAGCCCTCCCAGGGCTTAAAAACGAAGAAGGACAAAAACATGATAGGAAGAATGAATGTCCCAAGTTGTTTAATGTACTTACTCTCACAAATGGAACGATAGAGCAACACTTTAACGTAAGACATGGTTTTCACTTTCGACTTGATAATTATGAAACAAGAACGAGTTTAAAATTGAAATGACAGCTGTCAAAAAAGTAACAACAAACTAATGTCGCGGGTGTCTGTGTCTGCCATATGCGTTTTAAATGTCACACTGAATATCCAGAATATATCCTAAGTTAGGGGTCTGGTGTGTCTTGTGAATGTGGAAACCTCTAACAGCGTTTGAAGTGTACTATTGGTGCAAATTGGTCACATAGAAGCGTACTACAACACCCAGTAAGGGAAGTCAAGCAATTTTTCAATTTAATTTATGCCCATGGGCTTAAAAGCGTTCGATTTTGTCCGTTTGTAAGCCCAAGGGCTAAATAACGACGCGAATTAAAAACGTACAGTCCCGGTACCAGCGGGAGAAACAAAGGGCTTCAAACCCGTTTTGCTTTAGCAAGTACACCAACACTCCTCTATCCTCATCTTCGATTGTCTTGTATATTCTATGTCCATTCCTTTGTCATAAATAAAGTGGACACATTCGTTACCATGGCATTGTTTCGGAGGTGACGTCACCACCCCCATCCCTCCTGTCTCTGACGTACCATATAATTTCTCACGCTCGTAGGATTAATTTGATTAGACTGTTTAACGCCGCGCCATTCGAATCAAGGTCAAAACGAGATTATGGGGTTCTATGGTATATATCATAATAGAATGGGAATACAATACTCTGGTTAATAGAGGATCCGCAAGTCTGAGAGAAGGGATATAGACGCATTATATTAAGACAATGAGAATGAATACTAGTCTTTTTATTTCCTTTCAGCCGTTTTTCATTCCTGCTCGTCTTATCTTTTATCAAGATTTCAGTACACTGTAGTGGCGTCATATAAGTGGTAAAAGTGGGTGCTACCTGAGTCAAAAACATTTCAATGGTTCCACCGATTTTACTTCTACCACTTCTACTACCACTACCACTACCACTACCACTACCACTACCACTACTACTACTACCTTTTAGTAGTATAACTCTGGGACGCCGCATTAAATATTTTCTCAGATCATACCAAAGAGAAACATGAAATATATTCTTATGTGCTTTGGAACTTTATTTCTCAAAGGAATGAACCCAAAGATTATAAACAAAATAAAACCTTGATACCAACGGTCTTCAATCGTTAGCTGTTTCTTTTAACAATGGTTTAGTTTAGGTGATCTTGGAGGATCTCACCCAGGTGTCCCTTAATTTCAAATATATCATCGATGACGTCACTATGAACTGCAAAGCATTGTGATGCAATTTCACCCAATAGATATCTCTCGTTCTGTTTGGTACCGATTTTTTTATCTCTTCAAGCTTCTTCAAACTCACTCTCTTTATACTGTCGAAAATGGAAATTAACAGTTAACAAACATGTATCTAAAACTAAAGTTGTTGTTTTCTGCAGTGGTACTAAAAAGAGAAAACCCGCCCCCTTCATTTTCGACAAAAATGAATTAGAAACGGTAGTCTTTAATGAATATTTAGGCATAGAATTTGTCGTCAAAGAATACATGTACTGTCTCCTGAAGGAATCTCGAAATATCAATCTCCCACTCGACTGTAAATTAAATTAAAGCATTTGACGTAATTGTGTTACTAATCTTACTGTGTGGTACCGACGTGTGGGTATTTGGAAGTTTGACTATGGAAAAATCATCTACACCTCCCTTAATAGTCTATGGCGAATGAGGCAGTACCCCCCTTTATATCATAGTAACTAAGAGAATTATAGGATTTGGGATAGAATTAGTAATACTAGTATACAATCCCCTTAAAATGAATGTTCTCTAATGTATCAATCCAGTAAAAGTAATGCTACTCACCCTTGGTTATATGATTTAGAATGTTTAATAAACTCGTGTGGTCTGACCCAAGTGTATAATATGCTATGAAATTACAACACCAAGTGTCTCGTCTGTGGAAAGAATACAGACCGATCATTGTTTACAGTCCTGGAGAAGTTCAATAGTGTCGCGTTCAAAAGGTTTCTATTATAAATATCTTAAAGGAATGTCATTATTTGAAAACTCCATCTACCTTAATCTGTTTATTATCCTCTCTTAACATTTCGTATCAATAACCACAATTTACCAGTCGAGACTGGCCGCTGGAATAATGTACCCAGAGAACAACGTCCATGTACACTCTGTAACTCTCCGTCAATAGCAAATAAATTCCATTATATATTACTTTTACTTATACCTAGCAGATTTTGTAATGTGGTAAAATGTGTTTTTATAAAAAAAGTCTACCAATATGTGTATTATTTGTATCTCCCAACCTTGAATACTCAATCTATATGCACACAGCCATCCTGATGTACATATTATATTTATCTATGTACAGTATATATGTTCTTGTGACACCGTCGGTGGCCTGTGGTGAAATAAAGAATCTGAACTGAAGGCAGTTTTGGATGATAAATGTCTTGTAGACTATTGTGACATTATTGGTTACATGACATCGCAATACAATGACGTGACAATGGTCTGCAGAACATTTCATTCTGGCGATGTCCCCTTGGAGATATTGCTTGATCTCACCGAAGTTCTTCCTCCCGAGGAAGCCAGTTTTGTATGTTTAATCACAGAAAGCGATATAGGTGAGCAGATTGTCACAAACGTCTACATTGTGTGCACAGAAAAGTAGAGAAACCAGACTTTCTTGTCCCAATGACATTCCTTTTTAAAGCTATTTGGTTTAACTGATGCCCTGAAAGTGCTGCGTTTCACGTTGCCTACCTCAAAGTTCTACTTATCAGTAGATACATGTATGGCAGTTTTGTAGTTATGTAGTCACCCCTGCTTCATTTGTCACATGTCTACAATATGCGAAGCACAGTCTTTGTGTCCCCTGTCATCACGCGTTGAATCAGAGACGGACGTTTTACCTTCATTGAAGCAATACAGTAATTATTATATTAAATTATATTTGAGTGCTGCTTTCTGCCCATGTATAGTAACATAATCACGTTTCATTTTTTGCTGATTTTGCAAAAAAAATATTTATGCAATAGTTTTAATTTCTATACCGATTCATGTTAACGCATTCTTTTCAACTCTAAGAAAAAAGATGTTTAAACGAGCATATGAAAAGGCATATTTTCTGTTCAATTGCGTACAGATTAAATTTAAACGTCAACGCCAGAGAATAACCAGTCTCGATTATCCATGAGGCGTAAAAGGCAAAATTATATGAATGGATCAGTGATGACACTCGGTGTTCGCGAACAGGAACTTGAAGCTTGAATATCAAGCAACACTGTGTATACCATACATGTCGAGTGAGTGAGTGAGTGAGTGGGATTTACGCCGCTTTTAGCAATATTCCAGCAATATCACTCCGGGGGACACAGATTGTACCCATGTGGGCATGGAACACGGGCTCTCGGCGTGACGATTGAAAGCTTTAACCACTGGGCTACCCCACCGCCCCATAAGGAGAACAGACTCTGGTCATTCCAATGAAAGGCTGCACAAGTTTAAATACACGTCTGTGTTCAATTGTCAAATACATTTATAAAGATTCGTACAAAAACGATAATACTGTCTGAAAACACCAAGACAACATTTACTTACCGAGGCTATGCAAAGGATAAAAAATGATATTACAGACTTCATGTTAGAGTAATTCTCAACTAAAAAGTGGCAGCGTAATATGTTATCTTATGTAGACATCGACCCAGGACACCAGCTGCTGCTTTCAAGTATTTCTAGGAGTCAGCTGGTATGTGGTGTATGATGACATGGTCGTGGGAAGCCGAGCATATGTAAGTCTCTTTGTGAATTGCTATCTTGTCAGTAGGACTATATATGATCGTCATTGTTCTCTTTCGTCCCTATCTTTTTTTCACATATTGTAGGCGCTTTGGTATTCCAAGGAGTGGATTTCAGAGCGTTATGAACATACAGTTACATTTGCTTATTACCGAGTATTTATAATAATCATAATCATAATCATAGGCCATTTAGATTGCGCATATTTCCACACCACACAGAGGCATGCTCAAAGCGCTATTATGACCCCGATCACTGGATCAGTGTGCACTCAGCTATCATTCTCAGCTCCCAGTGTATACAACCCAAGCTACCCGATAGGCGCAAGAAGGTTAACAGCCACATTACCCATTCACCGCTGGGTGGATAGAGGCACATTGCGAACAAAGTCACTTGCCCAAGGAGACACCACATGTGTAACATGTGCTTCAGTGTGGGGCAGCCTAGAAACTCTCAGGAGCCAAGCTGCCGAAACGAGGTCACTCATCTGAGGACTCTCCGCGACCGACCTTGTGACCTGTGCGCTGTGCATAGGACCAGAACAAATATTCTTGTAAAACGTGGCTGTGTGTATGAGTAGGTGGATAAATGGAGGCTAATGGAGTTGAATAGCTTTTCAGTTATATCACGGCGTGTCAGCTTGATGTGGGGGGACATTTTAATGTATCTTTGACGTTTACCACTTTGGTGAACCCACTACATGTAGCATGGGTCTGGTGCTGACATAATCAAACGTGGGATTCGAAGCCACGATCCTAGGTTCCTGGCGATCATAAGGGATGCAACTCTGAAATCTAAATGTAAACGTTGTCGATGGTTACATTGTGTCTGTGTAATTCTGTAATCATTATCTAGTATATTCACACAGATAATAGTGTTAGAACTGCGAAACTGTTTAAGGTGAGGTGAGGTGAAATTGGGTTTAACGTCGCGTCCAAGATTATTACACTTATATAGCAACGTGCATGCATGTGTATGTGTGGCTACTTTGTACTGACCGGACTGATGCCGATTTATAGTGCTAGCCCACTGAGATACCATGCCGCAGTTTGACATGAATACCCCACTCAGACACAGTATACTGACTCCGAGCCGACCAGTCCTTGCTTTAACCCCTTAATGCCGAGCGCCAGACAGGGTAACAACAAGTACCATCTTTTAACGTCTTTTGGTATGACGCGGCCGGGGATCGAACCCCGGACCTTCCGCTCTCCGGGCGGACGCTCTACCACTAGACCACGGAGGCGTTCGAAACTGTTTAAGCCCAGTCCCCTTTTAACACATGTAACCGTTCATACACGGCTTCGCTCTGTAACGGTACACTTTGTCGATACGATAAAATGTCGTGTCATGTTATAATTTTATAATATTTTGATCAAACACATTTAGCAAATCTGAGTCAATTAGTAGTGGTTAAAGAAATCTAACAGGGACAGAAGTTTTAAAAAAATGGGTACACCATTTTCTATGTACTTCTCATGGACCTTTATCATTTTGTATCGATACATTAACCCATGATACGATATTCCTTTTATGGCACATTGTGCCGTGTTGCATAGAAATGATGAAATGAGGTTAACGTCGCGTTCAAGATTATTGCGCTTTTGTAGGGGCGTGCATGCGTGTGTGTGTGCGTGTGTGTGTGCGTGTGTGTGTGTGTGTGTGTATGTGTGTGCGTGCGTGCGTGCGTGCAGCTGCTGATCGAGCCATCGACATTGACCGCCTACTTCACACTCGTGTTGTTGATGTTGATGTCTTCAGCTATCCATGCTTTCCGTAAAAGGCAACTATGCTGGTCGTAAGAGGCGACAAACGGGATCGGGTGGTCAGGCTCGCTGATTTGGTTGATGCATGTCATCGTATCCCAATTGCGTGGATCAAACACTGGATTGTCTGGTCCAGACTCGACTATTTACTCCAAAAAGTCAAAATCATTTTTTGGTAGCATGTGACGGGCAATTCCAAACTTGACGCATCAGATGATATCGGAGACATTTCCCTATTTTTTACTTTTAGCACATGTTCCCGTCTTTGTGCAAATGAACACTTGATTCTCATGGCGTGTGTGTGTGACAGGAGCTGTCTGTGGGGGTAGGACACGTTCACCTTTCACACACACCTTCGATCATTATTTTTTTATAGTGTTTCATACAGGCATGGTTATGATGAAGGACTCTGGGTTTTCTTAGGATTACAGGGTTTTGTCGCATGAATGTGTTTATCGATAAGATCGATGTCGTGCACCTTTAACTTTAACTTCATAGACACATCATCACACGTAGTTTACCATTCCTGACTAACTGTACAATTAATTATCCACAGTATAAATGTATCAATTTGTCTATCATTTATCATTTTTGTATCCCGAACGTACATGTGTCATTTTTCTAACCATGAGGGGCGGTCGGGTAGCCTAGTGGTTAAAGCGTTTGTTCGTCACACCGAAGATTCCCGACATGGGTACAATGTGTGAAGCCCATTCCTGGTGTCCCCCGCCGTGATATTGCTGGAATATTGCTGGAATATTGCTAAAAGCCGTGTAAAACCATATTTACTCACTGACTCTAACCATGAAGTGAGTGAGTGGGTAAGTGTTATTTTAATCCGCTTTACGATCATTGCAACAACATAATGTCGGAGGGTACCAACAATGTTGGGAATAGAAACCAACTAACGGGTGATCGCTTACACCGCTATCCCACTGACCCCTAAGTCACATTAATGCTATGTGTATAATAGAACATAACAACCACTTAAACATTCTTCTCGTATATTGTAACATGTTTTATCGTGACAATCACCAGTTTACCTATTCCTTTCCTTTTTGAATGTATTCATGGGAACATTGTCTCCGAAGTACATGTACCATGAGACACATAGTGTCCGCGCGTCTTTCTCTACATGAGACACGTAGTGTCCGCGCGTCTTTCTCTACATGAGACACATGGTGTCCGCGCGTCTTTCTCTACATTAGACACATAGTGTCCGCGCGTCTTTCTCTACATGAGACACATAGTGTCCGAGCGTCTTTCTCTACATGAGACACATAGTGTCCGCGCGTCTTTCTCTACATGAGACACATAGTGTCCGAGCGTCTTTCTCTACATGAGATACATAGTGTCCGCGCGTCTTTCTCTACATGAGACACATAGTGTCCGCGCGTCTTTCTCTACATGAGACACGTAGTGTCCGCGCGTCTTTCTCAACATGAGACACGTAGTGTCCGCGCGTCTTTCTCTACATGAGATACATAGTGTCCGCGCGTCTTTCTCTACATGAGACACATAGTGTCCGCGCGTCTTTCTCTACATGAGACACACAGTGTCCGCGCGTCTTTCTCTACATGAGACACATAGTGTCCGCGCGTCTTTCTCTACATGAGACACACAGTGTCCGCGCGTCTTTCTCTACATGAGACACATAGTGTCCGCGCGTCTTTCTCTCGCGTCTTTCTCTACATGGTCACATAGTGTCCGCGCGTCTTTCTCTACATGAGACACATAGTGTCTCTGCGCGTCTTCCTCTACTTGAGACACATAGTGTCCGTGCGTCTTTCTCTACACGAGACACATAGTGTCCGTGCGTCTTTCTCTACATGAGACACATAGTGTCCGAGCGTCTTTCTCTACATGAGACACATAGTGTCCGCGCGTCTCTCTCTACATGAGAGACATAGTGTCCGTGCGTCTTTCTCTACATGAGACACATAGTGTCCGCGCGTCTTTCTCTACATATACCAGAACAATATGACTCGAACGTCAACGTGAGATGGTAAATCATTTTCTAAATGGACCGTTCTCATGATGTCATTTCGAATGGTCATCGCTTATTCCATCCATTCAACTAATCCTCTTATGTGTCTACATGTTTGGCTTAACTTTCATTCGAACAAACAATCTTTCATTTACAAACTCTCATTCTAGATGGATGAACGTTGATATATTATATACGTTAAAAAGAAGTACAAAAAGGTGTCAAGGGAGTTCTCCAGCGTTTATATCCAAATATATAGGTCTTCTAATTCCTTCTCAACGTACTTCAAGATTAACACTCGTTCCTTAAGCACAGCAACTTGTACACTCTCAAGAGAAAATTCTTTAGTTAAATTATCCTCAAACTTTCTACACGAGTCGAGTATTGACGTACCAATACTACACTGATTCTGCAAACATTCTCTTAATGCAACAGCCCTTACATGTCAGTGTGTCCCTTTCAGAGTGAAACATCTTCAGAAATCGGACCCCTTCTGTGCTACATAGAGAAGGTAACTCTCCTCTCTCCTCCATTGTGGGGCCGATAACAGCCTGTAATTGATCATCACACTACCGGAATCAATAGCAAGGCTAACCCACCCAATCTTTGCCATCCAGCAAGAGACATGGACGGGAAATACAAGAGGCACAACTAAAGCCTTCAATCCTTCACAAAGCCCTCGGGGGATTCACGACCTCGTCTTTTTACTTGTGGATTGCTTCCTACATGGTGGTGTCCTGGGTTTTATATAATCTTTAACCTAGGGCTGATTACAGTCTCTAATTTCGAATCCCACGAAAACAATTACATTTGCCTTAATAAGACCACATTCGACCTTAGCGTCTTCCTGGGTTGATTGTATCCTAGGAGGTTTCATTTGATTTTAGCATGATTACAATTTCATTGACCTTTTCGCGTCTTTGATTTGCTCGACATTCTCTTTTAGGACACAATTAACTGATGGAACAGCACCGTTTGCATTCATGTCGAAAGTCATTTAAAGGAACATGGTTTTATTGAGTTCCATGTTTCAAAATGCAACTTCCCGTTTCAATCTGTGTGATGCTGCTTCACATACAAACACGCAGCAGATCATGTATCGGTGTTCGAGGACTCAATTTCCCCATAGCATTACCTCTTGTTACTTTGCTTCTTTTTATAATGATTACGCAAGAGAATTTACT